ACTCCACTTTTCACTACCTCCCTGGTAGCCACTACCATCTGTCACCTGATTTATAGCAGTCGCCTCCTAATTTGTCTCCCTGCTGCCACTCTTAGCATCTGTCTCCGTATTCTTGATAGAGGAATGAGGTTGTTAAAATGCAGTTCACAGAATACCATACCTTCATCCAAAACTCTGCAATGTCTCTTCATCTCACTTCACAAATTCTTACAGCGGCCAGTGAGGCCCCACAGGTCCAGTCCTTAGTAACCTCATCTCCTGCTCAGTCCCTGTCCAGGTCACACTGCTCTGGTCACACAGGTGTCCTTGCTGTCTGCATAAGTCAAAGCTATTCCCTATTTGCACTTGCTGTTCCCTCTGCCCAGAACACTGTCTTGGACAGACCCATGGCACATAATAGTTATTCAATAAATATTTCTCGAAGGAATAAAAATAAATAGAAAGGATTCACATTAATGAGATAAAATTAAAACTCTTTAGTTTCATGTTCAAAGTATGCCACATTAAATCTTTATAAGCTCCTTATTTACAAACAACACCTAGAAGTCTTCTGTTTTCACTATAGTGCTTCTCATAGAAAAGTCACTTAATAAATATTTCATAGATTATGGAACTAAATAAGAATGAAGGATACAGAAAGTCTAATTCACTTAAACTTGTGTGAACTGCTTTGCAATCACTGGTAATTCTAGACTAGTCCATCCTTAATTTAGCCATTCATACTCCCTGTAGCAAACGAAGCGTAGCAAAGCCTTGCCTTGCATTAATAACACTTCTTCCTTAGTGGTTAGGCTCTGACTTTCACTTTCTTTGTCATTTCTTTGTCTTTCCAGTGAGAATTTAAGCTCCATAGCCTAAGATTTTAAATAGTCCCCACCAAAACCTATTCTTCTCTTGTTTTGTGTTAGTAGAGCCCCAGTTTTAAGCTGGACATATGCCCATACAGGAAAAAAAAAAATTTACATTTCCCAGCCTTTCTTGCAAATGACTGTGGCCATCAGACTATGTTCTACTTAAGGGGGTGTTAGTGTATGATGTCAGTTCAAAGGCAGCCAGTGTGTGTCGTCTGCTCCCTTTCCTTCCTTGCCCCTTCCTCCATCCTGCTGCCTGGAATGCACATGTGATGGCTGGAAGCCTAGCTGAAATTATGGATTGTGAAGAGACGGGCCACACACCAGAAGATAAGAGTGAGCTGGAAGAGGTGTAGATTACCGAGGGCTTCATGGAGCAGAACCATCATACTGACCCTGGACATCTTACTTCTGGCCTTATGTGAGAAAGAAATTTCTCTCTTATTGAAAAGGGCCACACACCAGAAGATAAGAGTGAGCTGGAAGAGGTGTAGATTACCGAGGGCTTCACGGAGCAGAACCATCGTACTGACCCTGGACATCTTACTTCTGGCCTTATGTGAGAAAGAAATTTCTCTCTTATTGAAATCACTGTTATTTTAGGACTCACACAACAATGAAATATAATCCTACCTCAAGCACCACAAAAACTAGTGCCTGGAACTTCAGAACTAAACTGAGTTACTGCTGAATCATTTAAAATAATCAAAACGAAAGAAAGTACCTGCAATGATAACCAAAGATCTTTATTTTCTATATTTAATTTCTTACAATCATTTTGAAAAATAGTGTGTCTCCAAATGTACGTTCACTGAAGGAAGCTGATATGACCAAAGCATTATTTTGAATGATTATGGAAAAAATATGTATTATTGCAAATCAAGTGTTCCATTCAGCTTACGCATACTTAACACAAACACAAAGAGAAGGTCTAATGTCAGAAGTAGGTGTCGTCTTCCTTAACTGAAGCACTACGTCAGAAGAAAGCCTTTGGTGATTGCAGATCTGAATCTGAGAGATTTTTAACCCCCATTAAAAATAAATGTTGTCTATAGCTGTGGAAATGCATAAGATTTTTGGAAATTTTTTTTTTGAAGAATGTCTTCTGATCTCTGTTGTTGTCACTTTTAGACATTTTGAGTTTATTTAACATAGGATTCTATCTGTTTAACATTCAAATTCAGACACACTCCTCATCTACCCTACTATTCTGAATAGTTAAGTACACTATAAATAAACACATCAATGTTTCTCTATTACTACTTAAAAAGTCTAATGTAATTGAAATGAACATAGTATTTACTTATCATTAAATATATTTTTGTTAGAAAGATATACAGCATATGAAATTACAGGCTTTTCATGAGTTAAAGACAAAATTTAGAACTCTCAAATAATATTTACAATGTAAACATCACAGTTATTACATTAGAACAAAATAAATCACAACATTCACAACACTATTTTATTTGGTTTTGATATTGACGTTTTCTTGAATTACTCATGTAGAACTCAAATTTAGTTACTGTTTACCTTTTTTCTTCAAGAATTCTGAAAAAGAAAGAATTGGTACTAAGCATAAAAATATTTTTATTTACAGCATCTTAGTTTCATTTATTCATCTATTCATTTCATATAAACATCAATTCCTTTTTCTTCCTTTACCACAGCCTGTGATGGGAGATCATGTTCTGGGGTATATTAAGAGAGAAAATTTTAGAAGACTGACTGTCAGAAAGGAACTGGAATGTGAGCCATTAATGATTAGCCATTAATGATTATCCACTTGCAATTTTCACAAGTGGGTGACTCAGAGGACATCCTGTTGAAATAATTTGTTCAAAGCTATCCATTCAAAAAAGAGAAGAATGGAAGGTGAAATCTTATCAGTGATCTTACAATTTACAAAGAATGGAATGATTCATCAATCCCCCTTTATATTTTAGTGCCTATTGTATTTCTTAATTTGATATAGAAGACTCTTCTTATAAACATTTTTTTTCAGGAAGTTAGATGTGATTAACTTTCTTCCTTAAGCAAAGGGACTTGTTTCTCTGAAATGTCTACACCTGGTAAGGAACTGGTGTGAGCAGCACCCCTGACTCTCTCTTAGAGGTTAAGAGGAAATCTGTGGCAAAAGCCATCAATCAGTCAGATGTGTTCTCAGACACCCTGTCAACTCTTGGTGACTCTCCTGAAAACTTCAGATAACCACACTGGGAGCTAAAGTAAGACTATGAATTGCCTTTAGTCTGAGCATAGGGCTCATTTAATTTCCTTGACCTAGTCAGGATTGAAAACTGGCCTACCTTCACTTTTATGAATGAAGTTTTATTGGAACACAGTCACTTCCATTTGTTTTACATATTATCTGTGGCTGCTTTCATGCTGCAATAGCAGTTAAGTAGGTGTGACAGAAACCATGTAGCCCACAAAGCCAAAAATATTTACTTCATAGCCCTTTAGAGAAAAATTTGCTGACCTTTGATATGGTGATGACATGAAATTTCTTTTCAATACTTGGCAAAAATCATAAAAAAATAGATTTTTATGAGCTAACATAAACATTAATATAATATAACTCAGAAAAGAAATATGACTCATACATTTATATAAAAGCAATTTTGGTAACAAGCTTATCATTTCACAAAGGAAAAAACGTACACATGTTTTCTCTACTCAAAAAATAATTTACATTGAATACTATTGGGGCCATAATACCTACAGTCAATTTTTAGGTAAAACAAGCTAAATTTGACTTTTTCTGCATGAAGTTTGCTATGTTTCAAGTAACACAATTAGACCCAGGGTGCCTTGGTAGTTCATAATAATGAGGTTTGCTGTAATTTGGTGGTATCTCCCTGTACTTAAATTAAGTGTGGTGCTGACAATCAATTGTGGAATTGAACCTTACTTTAATGTGAGCAGCATGGCTTGATTCTCAGAAAGCAAGCCAGTTTTTCTCGTGAGTGTGAGTCAGGCTCCTCTGTTTTTTATCTCAACACAAGGGTAGGAATTAGTCTGAGTAAATTAGGAGTACCATTCAGATACCAAACTGTTTGCTCATTGTGAGCTTTCTCTTTTATGTGATCAGAACATTGTGTGAATCATTTTAAGCTGCTTACTGGGTTGGTGCCTACTTAGATGAGGTCTCATGGTGGAAATTATTTAACCCTAAGATGTTTTTTACCAAGCAACTCTTACCTACTTACATAATTAGATGACCGGTATGAGAATATAGTAAGAATGCACAGATATACCCACCACTGGGAAGTCGTCATCAGCTTTTCTCCAAAGAGCTTTTTCATCAATTTTCTAACTCTTCGGGGAAGTCAGGAGATTCCCCCTCACTGCTGCAGATGGGAAAAAAAAAATTGTGCACTTTAAAGCTCTTAGATGAGAAAAGCTCTAAAGAAGTAATGAAGACATAATGACTAAGGTGTTCCCTGTGCTCTGTAAAGCGCACTCGGGGCTAAACAATTATCTTTGAGGTTAGTTATTACCTGTAAATTGTTTCTCAATCTTAGTGTCTACATTTATTCATAAAGAACCAATGAAGACATAATGACTAAGGTGTTCCCTGTGCTCTGTAAAGCGCACTCGGGGCTAAACAATTAGGTTAGTTATTACCTGTAAATTGTTTCTCAATCTTAGTGTCTACATTTATTCATAAAGAACTATAATTTAGTGGGCAAAGAAAGTCATCTTGTCTGATCTCACCCAAACAGAATCTTCCTTAATACTCACCATGTAAATATAAATAACTGAAATTAAAAAAGAGCAATATTGTATCTAATATTTACACACCACAGAGATAAGTTTTACAGAATCTAGCTACATAAAATACCTTATGGTTTAATTTGATAAAATAAAGGTACTGAATACCACGTGAAGGGAGTTCCATGTATTACCAAATTGCTAATTGATTACACCTCACGTGTTTTAAAAATTAGCATTTTTGATAAAACCTACTCCCAGATTCAGACTAGATGTCTCTACAGTCATCATTTTTAACCTCGGCAACACAGTAGAATCAAGTGGGGAGCTCTTCAGAAACACCAGTTCTAGGGCCTCATTTCCAGGGGCACTGATTTCTTGGCAATTGTTTTTGGGTAAGGCCCAGACATCAGTGTTTTAAAACTTCTCCATGATAGTCCAGTGTCAGCCAAGGTTGAGAATGACTGCTCCACATAGCATAGATAAATAGGGGGATAGAGAGATAGATAGGTCTCCATACATAGCTTAAGTTTTGAAGTCATTTATAATTGAAAGTCATTTATATTAGAAAGTTCTCTTTTTCTTTACCTCCTTTTCCCATTCAAGATTGAGTTCAAGTATTTCTTTACAGCCATTTGTTTTCTAAGGCGGGTATAGTTGTCAGTGAAGACTGCATCTGAGTGACGTTTGATTGGTACAGGGTCTTCAGAGATGTTGGCACTAAGAGATGTGAGAAAAAGGAAATCAAAGAGTTTTAACAAGAAATGGTGAATGCATCAATGTTTCAAATTTCTCAGAGTCAGATAAAAAGGAATTCCAACATTTAACTCATTTTCTGTCACAAAAAGGCTAAAAGAAAAATACAGTTAAGCCTAAGGATAGGGGAGCAAGGAATAATTTAACATATGAGTGTACTTCAAAAAGTTCATAAATAGATTTGTGTTATCTTTTAATTCTATTTTTCCACAAGCTTTTTGAAGTACCTTCATACCTTGACATTACCTGAGACTGCTTTCAGACATGTTCTGTACTAACTGAGCAAATAATTTATCAAAACAATCAAATTAGGGAATAGTTGAAGTTGTGTTCTGCAATTAGGAGAAATTTAAAATAAATAAATAAATGCTTTTTAAAAGCTGAGCTACCTTGAGCAGTGTCATCTAAATATTCAACAATTGGCCATTTAAAGAAAGAATCCTCCAACACTTAGTTTGACAAGATGCAAAATGCAAGTATCACGGTTGGCCTTAGAATTTGCTTCAGTTTATACTCTTTCTTATTTATGTTTTACCTTGTCTTGTTCAATTTAATTGCGGATTTGCAAATTATTGCTACTTAAGAAAAGTAAGTGTGTCTGGAGTCAAGTATATTACTAAAAAGCCTTATTTCTTTAATCCATGGGCCTGGTATATTTTATTCAAGAGTACAAATTACTTTGTTTATCTAAATTAAACATTATCAAAGAGTTATCAATTTTGAACAAGGCAAATAACATGTTAAGAGTGAAAATATAATTTGCAAACTGAGTAATAACACATTTGATAAAAATAATAAATTCTCTTTACCTAACTCGTTTGCCAATAAGGGACTCAAGGTACTTTTTGGCAGAAAGTTGACCCAAAAGTCTGCTAAAGTCACTGGTGAAAACTCCATCAGCATGTCTGGCATTTCTAAAATAAGGAAGAAAGGATAGCTATTATTTTGTAAATGACTTCCTAGAATATTATTTTGGCTTATTAAGTAACAGAAAAACTTATTCACTTATTATGAAAGCTTCTCATTAAAACTCAAGTCCAAAAGGCTTCTTAACACCCTCACAAAAGATATTTTCTATATCAAGATATATTCTATATTTCTAGCCCAAAACTTTGAAAATTTAAAGAAATCAGCTATTTTAGAAGTATATTTTAATATCGCTCCCTGGTAGAATCTTTAAGTTAGTTTCTATTTATTTATAGTGCTTTACTTTTGCTATCCTGAATAAAGATATACGCAATGGGAAAATAGCCTGAGTTTGGCAAATTCACAAACCAATTATACTTTCTGTTATCTCTTCTGCCAAAATATTTGGAAACAAAATCTCTTGAGATAGGGCGGATCTTAGGGCCTATTAACCAACTTTTCCATTCCAATGAGGAAGCTTTTATATGTTGTCCTCAGTGCAGAGCTAGTAGGTCTGTACTGGAATGCTGCTCTAGACAAACAGTTCTATTAGACATACAGATGAATCTAACCCTACTCCATCACAGAATCCTAAATGCTGTAGTTTTAACAGGCTTGGTACATTCAATCTGTGGTGTTGAAGATTATGTGCGACAGAATGTAAGTGAATGGTGTGTTTATCCTGGCTTGTCACAACCTTTCTACGTGAAAGTCATAAACAGCTCACGAGAACGGCAAAAAATTAGGCTGAGTGAAGTACTGTGCTGTAGGAATAGTTTCATGGTGAGAAAAAATTCGAACATTTGTTTTTCTAAAATAAAACTCAATAAAAATAAACTCACCTAGATACATCATAATAGGGTGTGTCATTTTCATCTAATGCATTCTGCAAGATGTCAGTGTCTGCTTTAAATGAAACTTGGTCAGGTTCACTTGCTCCTTCAAATGGTATTCTGTCACCCAACCTATTAGGGAAAAATACAGTAAAAGTATAATGCATTCATTTCCTAGAAGATAGTGTTTATGGTTTTGTAGCCATTTAAAATAAGGTCCTCAAAATCTTGGGAAGTATCACCCATTCACAATATAAGAATAGCATAATTTGACTGAATGGCTTCTGTGATGAACGAGTATAAATAGTGAAAGTTTTATTATCCCATAAAGTAGATATCATACAGCTTTTCTAAACTGGATATACCAAACATCAGATCTACTTAATTCAGTCCTATCAGAGTATTAGGCAAAGTACACTTCCTCAGTGTAATTCACTGCACCAAGAATACCTTCACTTTGCAAAGTCAAATTTTACAGGTAGAAAGATTTTATACTAAATAGAAATTTGAAAAAAGATTAATATTCAATATGAAAACTGATAACAATTAGTGTACTTAGTGATTTTTAGTATTATTTGTCCCAAACACCTCAAGAACTGAGTAGTAACTGCTTTTCTCTCTAGGTTCCTAAGGTTTGCTTCAAAGATCTACCCTGGTATGATGTATTTTTCTGTACTGATCAAGCCCAGAGAATCTCTCCATCTGTGAATACTCAAATTCCATGAATTTTTAAGGGCCTTCTAGTTTCTAATCTTATGTGTTAACACAACTTTAATAAGGGATATATAATGCCATACTGGAAGACTGAGAATAGTCATGCCTATATACGGAATATGACTATATTTGTAGATATATGCACATTTTTAACACCAGTACACTATTAAAACTACTCGTGTGCATATTTTCACCATTAAGATAAACGTCAAAGGAGTGTGAGCTCCTGGGCATTTATGATCTTTTAAAGATGTGGTAGTTAGTAGTCAGAGAATATGACTATATTTGTAGATATATGCACATTTTTAACACCAGTACACTATTAAAACTACTCGTGTGCATATTTTCACCATTAAGATAAACATCAAAGGAGTGTGAGCTCCTGGGCATTTATGATCTTTTAAAGATGTGGTAGTTAGTAGTCAGTAACAAGTGGTCCTCTGGGTCTGAAGCTTAGCAATCAGTGAAAACTTCAGATTTCTTGTGATTTTTCATCTGTTGTGATAGAACCATTCAAATAGGACCATTGTATTTAGTTATCAAAGGAACTGGCTTTAAACAGATTTCACAGACAACACTAACAGCTAAGAGATTATTCATTCCATTGAGCATAAGTCTACTTTAAGCAAAGAGTCAGAAATGGGAAAATAACCAAAGAAATGATTAATTTGCCTTTAGATATAGTGGTGCCTGTAAACTGGAAGGAAAAATCAAGCTAATGTAGTTTTCATTTACTGTTTACTTCTTTAGCATGTTTATTTCAAATAAAATTTTGAATGTTTTGTTATACTTTTAAAATTTGAAATATGGAATACAACATATATAATAGTAGTCATTGGGATAGTAAGTCTCAAAAGATAAATTATCCCACAATTTTTAATATTCACAAATTGAGTCTTCCTAGATAGATTTCTGTCCAACATGACTTTATAAGTTTCACTAATCAACTACTAATTTTATGATTATTTACTGATTGATCTTGAAAATGAGGTTGTCAATTAAACAGCTATTTTTTCCACCAGAAACTGAACTGAACTGAACCGACATTGGATAAACCTTCTTACTTCTCTAAAACTGGTTTTGAATGAACGGAAAATCAAATCTCCATTCTACCATGTTTGGAAATGTGATCTATCCTACCCATAAAACTAATCACATTGTCTCTCTCATGCCCTGAAAGTGAATTCCAGAACTCAGAATGGCCATGTTGACTTGATGCTGAAAAAAACTTGCTTAACACATCAACCAAAAGATTTAAATAATAATATGTAATTTAAAATACTGAGTTGTCCAAAATAGCATATGGGAAATTCTAATTTGGATGAAAAAGGAATGTTCAACTGTCTCAATTGAAAGGGAACTTACCTTAGAGCAGAAGGTGCTCCAAAAAGAGGCCACGCCAGGGTCTGTGAGAAGAGCACACTGAAAAGTGTCAGGATCACAAGGAGCTGGGGCTCACTTCTGGTTTCCATTTCTGCACCTCTAAAGAGAGAATCACAACAGCTTTTCCAATCACAGATGTCACCGGCAAGGTAACTCTGAGAGTCTAGCAGTAATTTCTGAAGACTCTTGCAGAGTTTGAAAAAAAGTAATTTTCATCTTGTAAAAAGGGTTAAACTGCTATACGATTACATTTTGTTAGAAAAATTTCTCTCAATGACATGTGGTTGAATAAAAATTAGGATTCTTTTTAATCTGCTGCCTCTTAACCAAGCACACATAGCTGGCCCAAGTATATATTGAATGTTATACTTTTATAATGCTGGAAATAATCCTGGGGAAAATCTTTTCATGATGGAGTTGTAGCAACCAAGTTTACTATCTTTTCTAAGAGAATAGCTTCAAGGAATTGAGTATTTCTTCTACATTAAGCTTTTAGCATCTGACTAATATAAAACTGGGTATCATCTATTTATAATTCTTATACTACTACTGGTAAACTATACACACATACATGTGTATGTACATATATGTGTTGTGTATATATATAATGTGAATAAAATGTATACAGTACATATAAGTATAAAAATTTCTTGTATACACATTTCTTTTTCCTCTCAACCGTAGATATTACTGGGAACACATTTCCTTAAGCCTGGGTTTGAACAACATAACTCAATTAGTAGTAAATTAATACCCCCAAATCATTGAACCA